GCTATAATTTAAAGTCAGTAACGTTAAGGTCAGTCGGTGTAATCGAAAATTATAATCCTCTATCTAGCCTACCTTTCGTCCACGAACTTCTTCCGCGTCAAATTATTTTATTACAAACAGGGAAACAATATTGCCAAGTTACGTGTTGTTTTCAATTAACTTTGGAGGGACATAGATATAAATGTTAAAATAGTCCTTGGTTTAAGAAAAATACCAATATTAATCCGTCGACATCCGACATCCACGCCGAGAAGTTCGAGCGAGTTGCGAGGCGGGACCAGCGGGACCCTTGCCGACGCACGCATGCACACCACTGGGAAGGGGCGTTGAACGCGAAATTAATTTCAAATCTTCAGACAAGCCTTCCTACATTTTGATCGATATCGGTTCGATAGCCGCGATTGACACGATTTTAATCCATGTAATTTGGCTGTGTAGTCCAGTTTCGCCGATTCTGGCGAAAATGCAAGATTTTGAAGGGCACTGTGGGAGATTTGGGCGAATACATTATAATAATAGGGATGGATATTATTGGAACGTAAAATTCTGCCGATTCCAATGACTGGCAAATCGCTACGATATATATGGGACAGACGTTTAATCATGTTTTGAAAGTGTATAAAAACGTTGTAGAGTGAAAGGGATCTTGGAAAATTTTTTTACCTAGGCCCTCCCCCAAATTAAAATATTTTTTCCTAGGCCCTCCCCCGGCTCAAATTTTTTCCTAGGCCCTCCCCCCTCAGACGACCGGCCCTCCCCCCCCGGTAAATATCGTACAGTCCCTTAGGAGTACCGGGTACTACTATGTGGAATCTACCGGTAGGTTGAATGTGTATATTTTTTGCTGGTCTATTATGCAGGTCGCTCTGTGCTAACTTAGCAGCAGCCAACTGTTACAAGAAAGAGCACTTGGACAAGAACATGGCTTTGGTCAAGAAAGCAGATGTTTGCTACATCGGGGTAAGAATTGTTCTTCTTATTATGATATTTATAGAACATAAGAACTTTCTGCTGACTTGCTTATTTTGGCCCATTAGAGCCAAGGGGGGTTAAAATCATCTTTATTTCAATATACAAATATATACAAGATGACTCATTGAAGTACACCTAGGCCAGCCCTTTATCTCATTATAATTAAGAGGAGGGCGCAAGGTAAGTAAAATGTAACAAGTGTGCATCGGACATTAAACTTTTCGATTAAAATTGTTTTCTACACATACATTTCATTCATACGTATACTTACAAACAATTTTTTCTAGAACTTAAAGGTTAAAAGAAAAGAATCAAGCCTGTTGCATCAAATTTATCTTTTACAAGAGAATAGCCCTGAGGTACTTTCCCTACCCTGAATGTTTCTAGCGCAGTATATGGCATAAGATGCACAAAGTGCGCACTTCCCCAGTCTACTTTTAAGGTGTCTGACTTCACGGTCCTTATGACTGACTAGGCAGAGTGACTTCAGTTTCGCAGTGTTCTCACTGTTAATCCATCCTCTACTTCCGACTTCAACTGTAACGAGTGTAGCTCTGTACCCACTATGTACGTTTATATCATTAATCAGTCCTTCGTACTTGGCAGACTTTCTGTCCTCAGCGTGCTGTGCATTCTGTTCATACGGAACGGTAAGTTCGATCAAGGTCAGCTTCCGTTGTACAGGATCCTGAAGTGTGATATCAGGTACCAGCGAAGTCGGCAGTATGTCTGGAGGGATTGTAGTGTGTGTGCCTCCTTCCAGGTAGTCTGGGTTCAGGTCACACCTGATTGTGACCTCTGGGTTAGATTCTGCATACCATAGCTTGAGGGTGCTGACTAGTTCCATGAGGACACTGTTGTGTCGCCAGGTAAACCTGTCCTTGAGTGCTACCGGGCACATGTTAAGGACGTGACGCAAAGTCTGCCGTCCCTTGCAGAGTGGGCACTTCGGTGAGAGTACTTTCCCCCAGCGGACCAGGTTATCACCTGTTGGCAGCCAGTTTAACATGCCATTTAGAGCGAATTCAAATACCCCCCGGGGAGTGTTGCACAAAGCACTTTTCCACGCCAGGTTAGACTGTTCTTGTTCGACTAGTTCTGCCCAGTTCCCCTGTACTTGGAGTGACCTGCATTTTTCTTCTATTTTCATGTCCTCCTCTTTGCGTAGATGAGACTTTACTTTTTGACACACCCTTTCCTTTATATGCTGGGGGTTTGTCTGGGTTTCATGAGGCTCCGCGCCCATTCTGTACATACTTAGGCCAGTGCCATAAAATCACACCTTCATGTCTCCTCATCATTTTAAGGCATGTTGTGGTACATATATTAAGGTCCGGGTGGGACAAAGTGGTTCTATGGGCCTTTATGCAAATATATTCAAATTAGGAAAAGATATCCTAGATAGAAAGTAAAGCAGCATAACATAAGTACATGTAATCATATATTATAATATTCTCTGTGCAGGGGTTTTTTCTGACAGTGTCCCCTGAGTCCATCCTGGCTGTGGCGCAGTCCTGTGCGGAGGACAACAGGACGTTTGCTCTGAACCTGTCGGCACCGTTCCTCTGTCAGTTCTTCAAGGAACCCATGATGAAGGCCATGCCTTACGTCGACATTCTCTTTGGCAATGAGACGGTATATACTCATAGATAATATACATGTACCTTCACCATAATTTGAACATTCATATCTTCTGTCATTTTCATCTTGCATTCTGTTGTCTATGGCTGTCTTCATGAGAATCCTTCAAGCACATCCAGAATTCTGCATTGATATTAGAAAAGCTGTATCCTTAAATTTTACAATATTTCATCCGCAGGAGGCAAAGACTTTTGCAACAGAGCAGAACTTTGGGGTAAGTAATACTGAAGCATTCTTTTTTTTTATTGGTCCTCTTTATTTATTTTGGAGTTGTATCAGAGCTAGAATCCAATGTTTGACCGTAAACGTCTTGCATGCTTTCTTCACAGACGGAAGACTTGGTAGAAATTGGAAAGAAGATAGCTGACCTGGAGAAGGTGAATAAGGACCGTAAACGGATGGTAGTGATCACCCAGGGAACTGAAGAGACCATCATTGTACAAGGTGGGAATGTTTCTCTTTTATAAGCACTTTTGATGTGACCTGTGCCATAAGGCTGTCATTATGGTAACTAGTGCTGTAGCAGACATGCTGTGGTGTTGGATAACATTATGTGGCAAGTGACACAACAGAGTTTGAGGGGTTGGTCAACACATTTATCATAGAATAAAAAGCAGTATTTGCAGGGCTAGACTATGCGAAGGTTGACTTAACCAGTTTACAAGAACCACACTTTCATTTTAAGACCAAATTATCTATTTTTGCTCTCCTTTCTTCCTTTGCAGATGGAAAAGTTGAGCACTTCCCTGTGGTGAAGCTGGACCCCTCTAAGATCCTGGACACCAACGCAGCCGGCGATGCCTTTGTTGGCGGCTTCCTGTCTCAGCTGGTGCAAGGACAACCCCTGAAAGACTGTGTCCGCTGTGGAAACTACGCCGCTAGTACCATCATTCAGTACTCCGGATGCACCTATCCACCTAAGCCAGATTTCCAGTAAAACAGCACAGTACATTAACAAAAAAATGATGTCTTCTAGAAGAAGCCCTTTAGTTATACATGTAATGGCTGTTTGAAATATCATCAACATCGAATAAACTAGAGGTCAAAGATCTCATACCTTCATCTTTTGTTATTTGTGTTGGTTTTTATGTTTAGATCTACCGAAGATAAACATATTGTTTTTGCTCAATTTCTTCCTCTTCTTCTTCAAACAGTGACCTATGACCTGACCAATGACATAATTTGTTACACCTGTCAGCATGGTGACTGGTGTTGGGTTACATAATGTTGCAATTTCATGGTCTGCTCAGCTTCTGTCACCATATACTAGTAGTAATGTTACATGTACGTGAATGTGTTTGAGTGAGAATTAACAGAGCAGACCATATGCGAAGGTTTATATAACATAAGCAAATGCATCTTACCTTTCTAGTTAAAAGTTCAAAATTCATTGTTTAAATATTATTATTAGCCCAGCCTTTTGTGTTGACTTCATGGCTCCTACCAAGGAGGTTTAACTCCATGCTCCTACTATAGCATTTTGGAGTATAACAGGATGCCTAGACCTGTTGTTATTTTTAATTTTTTTCTTCCTGTCGCTTCATATTTTTTCAGAAAAAATCTGAGAACCAACAAATTAAATTGGTGTGGCCTTATTCTACCACGGAATTAAGTCCCCGCAAAAGTAAATAAATCTACAGTTAATAGGAATATTGGGCAAGAGTGATATGTTTTATACTGTGGCCACATAACAGCTTATTCTTGAAAACGTTTATTTGTGAAGATAGAAATACGAATTTAAAGGTGCCCTAGCTGCATTTTCATCCATTTTTTTTACCGAGATTGACATCAACGTACGTTAGTATTCTTCGTAATTAGACAATCTAATCGTCCTTCGACACATATAAGTGCCTGGCACCGAAACGGGCCTGATTGGTCGTCATAATTAGATTATCAACTTCATATTAATTATGCACGGCCGTTCTGCACACCTGTGTAAAAACAAGTTTGGTATGGTCCGGTCAAATGACGCTTTCTTACGACGGGAATACTCTGGGCTGATTTTTTCACAACTTTCTGGGTACTTTTAGACGTTTTCGTCGGTAGAATGTCTTAGTAAGTGTGCAGCAGAATGTTTGGGAGTTTGTGCTGTGGATTTGTGCCGTTTTGGTGATGTTTTGAGGAGAAAATGCGGATTTCCTAACCTGGCGAATTTTGGAGAAGACAAAAATGGCGAGACAGTTGGGAAGAGTAGCGTGGTATGGACTAATGGAGACGACTTCGCTCATTGTTTCAGGTAAACCAGTACATTGTTTGGCTGACATTATTCCTAAGCAACTAGTACAAACATGTCAACATATTCCTGCGAATTGAACTTTTTTCTGTATTAGGCAGCGATGCAGCGACCGTTCCTAATTTTACACAGGCTTAAAAAAGTCCATCAAGTTGCCGCGTTTTCAACAACTGGCGTTTTCAATGTGTGGTGCGCTTGTAGAGTGTTAAATGTATGTGCATGTCTTTTTAGTCAGTTGTTCAGCGTTTTGAGGTTATATTTGTCGAAAGACCAAACCATTTCTCTCTTTATCTCCACGTGGTTCAACACACCTGTTGGAATGTGGCCGTGTAGTTATTTTTCCCGCCAAAAATTTGCGTAAACAAGATGGTGGCCTCAAAGCTTCAGGGCGCCGAAATGAATACGATACCAAAAACGGTTGAAAACTAGTTAAGTCGAGTTGACCATACTTTGAAATTCGTTCTTCATTATCATATGCAATGTATCATTTATAATTTAAAAGCTTGTTTGTTTCCCTTTTATAGTAATTCAGTAAATAGTAATGACCAAGCCCAAGTATTTCTGGCGCCAACACTACAGATGACTATGCTTGTCAAGGTAGCAATTCCTTGTTTTCAAAATATTTTGCCCCGAGGTTTTTCGTATTCCTCATAAAGTTTCAGTTGAAGGGGGTTGATTTATTTTATTGTTGTTTCTATCCCCGTTTTTATGGTCATCATGTAGAGTTTTCGTCGAGGTATGTGTTTGTTTTAAAGGAAAGATATTTAAGGTGTGTGTGTGTGCATTGCTAGTTTTTAATTTGAGACAAGTGTCCAACTTATAATGTATGTATGGTTAGATAAAGGCTGATGCAGTAGTGAGAACTTGTCTGAACCTGACAAGACAGACTGGACCAGACCAGATGATTTGAAGAGCCAAGAGAAATATCAGGTGAGAAAAATCTGAATCTGCATTCAACCACTACTTACTTAATGTTGTTTGAGACAGTGTGTAACTTCTAATGTCTGTATAGTTAGGTGGCTGCTGACTGAAGTGAATTGCAGTATTTAAGACTTCTGTCTGAACCTGATAAGACAGATAGGACCTGACCAGATGATTTGAAGATTCAAGAGGAATATCAGGTGAAGAAAAATCCCAATTCTACTATTTTACCTACAACTATTTGGTCTTATTTGAGACAAGTGTGTAACTTTTAATGTCTGTATAGTTAGGTGGCTGCCGACTTATACAGGAGTGAAGACTTCTGTCTGAACCTAACAAGACAGATTGGACCAGAAGATTTGAATACCAGTACCGAAGAGGAATATCAGGTGAGAAAAATCCCAATTCTACATTTTACCTACAACTATTTGGTCTTATATTTGAGACATGTGTGTAACTTCTACTGTCTGTATAGTTAGGTGGCTGCTGACTGATGCAATTACACCTTGCAAGGCCCACTCGACAGCTTCCTGGCCACAGTTAAGAAGAAAAAGTTACAGTGGTTCGGACATGTGTCTAGGGCCAAAGGCACACTGTCACATACAGTTCTCCAGGGTAAGGTGGAAGGCGCACGGCCGCGGGGACGTCCCCGTCGGTCATGGATTACAGACTTAAAAGAAGTGGACTGGTGTAACAGCCAACCAGATGGCCAGACTGGCGGAGGACCGGCCAGCAGTGGAAGAACTTGGCCAAACATCATGCTGCCCCGACGGCTGACTAAGCTATGGGAGAGAGTGAGTGAGTGAGTGAGTGACTGATGCAATAGTGGTGAATTCTTCATAAACCTGACAAGAGAAGATTGGACCAGACCAGGTGATGTGAAGACCGACGATGACTCTCAGGTGAGAAAAATCTGAATTCTGCATTCAACCTACTGTACAGTATGTCTCTTCTAATGTCTGTAGTTAGGTGGCTGATTTCTGATTTGTTACAAACCCTGAGGCATAACAACCAGTTAATGTGTTTAAGAACACCTTTCCATT